TTGTTGAAGCGTGCATGTATGAATCTCGTGCCAATTTTTAGATATCGTGCTAACAAGAAATGGGAAAAAAAAAGAAGATCTCTGACAATAACAAGAGGTGATCCGCTAGTGTAGCGGATCACCAAAAAGCAAATTGATAAAGATGAATTTGGTAAAATTGTGGTCTGTTTATTCTAATGATTATACATCTGATTTAGAATACAGTACTTATGATGTGTGGTATGGGCTATTTTTGTACCTATTAGTTCTGAATTTAGTGTTGCTTATATCTGCATCAGTACAGTACTTACCTCATCCTCCTCGGTTGTTTTCTTTTTTGGTGCCTTCAGTGGCTTTTTCTTCCCTCCTGTTGACAAGATGCAAGATTATTGTTAAAGTAAACAAGATTACTGTTAGTTACGGAACAAGATGTATGTAACATTACTGTTAGTTACGGAACAAGATGTATGTAACATTACTGTCAGTTACGGAACAAGATGTATGTAACATTACTGTCAGTTACAGAACAAGATGTATGTAAAACATTACTGTTAGTTACGGTCAAAGGCAGGTACACACTGGAGACAAATTCATCTTTGTTCTCTGTGAGTGTCAATGTAACACCATCCGACTTTTGGTGGCAGCCTGTGCAGATCAACGTTCAAACGATCTGTAGCATGCAACTACTACTGTAGTTGACATACAATCGACTACTGTTACAGTAGTCGATTGAGTTCTTCATGGAATTATGCTGACCAACATCAATTGCGCAGTTTGTACCCAGCTTAAGGCAGTTGTGTTTGGCATTTTTAGGGGTAAATAAATCATTCTCCTAGTCCTATTACCCCACTCACTGATAATAATAATAATAAAATAATAATAATAAAATAATAATAATAATAATAATAATAATAATAATAATAATAATAATCTGCCACTTTTAAATTCTCAAATCTTTGAAGTATATTGAAAATAAAAAAGTGCATAAAAATTAGTAATTACTTTATTCATGATTCATACTGTATTTCATACTCAAATACTGTAATCACACCAGTGACGGATTCAAGGGGGCTAGCCAGTCCAGCCTCCCCACACCCCCTCCCCAATTTTTTCGAAATTATAAAACAAAACTTAGAAAGAAAAAATTTAAATCAAATTTCTGTCTGAGAGTGCCATTTCTAGGCCCCCTCTATTTCAAGTTCCTTGATCTGCCATTGCACACTCTTTGTCCAATTACCCTTTCCCATTCCACCCATGTCAACAATCTGTCACTTTTTGTAAGTGGGGAGTTGAATTTTCTTATTAGGTGTATCCCATGTCCCACATTTTAAATTTCATTTACTCAATACCTTCAATTTAATCTAAATGCAAATGATATCAATATGTAAACAGAAACAAGTCATTTTATAATAGAATTTTTCCGTGAACGAAATACTTCATTCAAAAATCGCTCCAGTACGTCCATTGAAAGGAGCAGGAAGGGGAAAATCTAGTCGAAAAGTAACAAGTGGGAAAATATAATTTTCTTTTCTCTCTTCCCTCATCCATAAGTGATATTTTTTACCAAAATCTGATGATAGCTTAAAATAATTAGGCTTGGGCCTAGAATAGTAGAGAACAGACCCAGTAGTATGTAAAGTAGGCCTAGGCTGTGCATGGTATTTGTATTTCGCAAATTTGCAATCGGAAGTCGTGAACTTGGGGACGATCATGACTATGCTAAAGACTGTGAAGATGCTAGTAAGTTTTGCAAATAAAGATTGTAACCTTGAGGGTACATTGGCATTACAAATCACAAATATACTCTTAATACCATGCTAAGTTGGCATTACATACTGGCCTAAATACAAAATCAAATCTACTGTAGAGGCCTACTGTAGGTAGTCTGCCTATCTTTTTTTATCCTTCCGCACAGCAGGTTACTCACAATTTTCTAGGTTGAGTATTCTCTACTGTGTACTACAATATGCAGCAGTGCATTTTACTGTAAGTTCTACTGTACTGTAGGTCCTCCGAATTGAGGAGTGTATTTGGTTGACTAGTAAAATTTAGATAAACGTAATAACTTGTCATATTAAAAACAAATCAGCTTTAGTTTCGAGTTAAATTATTTATTATTGAATTGAACTGTGGTGTGCTCTCTCAACAAAAACTGCAGCAATTTCGAGCCTTGGGCGTGCAGAGATAAGGAAATCTTGAACGTTGCTTGAAGAGCAGGGCCGGGAACCATGTGTGTTGAAATCCTGGGAGATTTAGAACTGTCCATTTTTAAACGGGGTATAGTTTAAAAAAAATTATTATGAGTAATATCGCGAGTTGTCAGTACACCTTTCACTGGTGAGGCAATGGTTTAACCTTACATGTTTTTTATGGAATTCTCAAGCCGAAATTCAGTATAAAAAAATGTGTTTTGCATGAAATTCAAGTAATAATAAACGTTGTCTATAAAATTTCAATATGATTTAGCTTTAGTTTAACGCAAAATTTGATCTACGTTGACACTGGACGTTTTCCAAGGCATGGGTACGTGTGATCCCTTTCAAACACGGCAAGGAGAGTCAATTAATTGCTATCCTGGATGTTAGCCCAGGCTATCGCACTTCTTAAAACTGGTGAACTGCGACTACAGTACATAGGAAAGAACTACAAAATCAAATTTTTTAACGTTATAGTTGTTCATCGATTCTTAAAATCACTGAATATATTATATATATAGTCTCACCTATGCACAGTACTGAAAACGACGTCCCACTACCCAGCCAACTACTTTTAGCATCGACCAGGAACCTCCCTACTTTTGTTAGTTGTTGCACGCACAGGCGGCGTACAAACAAATTTTTTCCTGCGCTTGGGTGCCTTGCACTACAGTATGCAGTGAATGATGTATATAGAGCCATGCAAACAATGTTTTAAATACAATTTATTGTACATATTTTTTTAGCGTGGCGCTGATATTTTAAGTGTGGTGAACTCTTCGTTATTTTTACCTACAGTAAGCGTGGCGGTCATTTTGCCCAGGCATGGTGGTCCCGCCAAGCTTAATTATAGCTGGCCAAACCACTGAAATAGTATATAAAATTACTTGCAAACTGCCAGTTAATGCAAAAATTACAAGGTATTGTAATATTGTATAACCTAGGCCTACTGTAGTCTTATTTTTATTTGTATTTAAAGATGTACCGGTATATATTTTCCCATGCAAAAAAATACAAAAAAAAATCATAAAAATCATTTTTGAAATTAATTTCAACTTGCCTTTATTTTGAAGTAGAAATTAGTGTCTTCAAAAATGTTCACCAGTGTAAAATGATACAAAACTTTCAGTCACTAAAATTGTTTTAATATTTATTTTTATTATAATTTTTTGTTTTCCCAATGTTCTTAAATATAATGAAAAGGCCACCTTATTATCTAGGGCCTAGGCTAGGCTGGCCAGATGAAGGCCTGCCAAGCATAGGCCTTAGTTTAGTTAGGGGCCTAGTGAGAACTTGTTCGCGGCTAAAAAGAACGGTCCTACACTGTTACCGGCGACAGCTGCTAGCAGCTAGGGCCGCCTAAGTAGTGCAGTAGTGGTGTTGGCTTAATTAGATGGGAGGATTTGCTATTTTGACAGATGAATGAGTGGTCATGACGGACGATCAGTCAGACCCAAAATAGTACTGCCCGGCCATCAGTAATAATACTCTAACCTCTAGGAATCAAAAAGTCATTGACTTACCTTCTCTTGACGACATTGAAACGAGTTAATGTTTTAAGAAACTAAGAAACTACACAACAGCATGCGCACGTTTCGAGATATAGAGACACTCGAGATTCGCTATAGAAGTGCGCCCGCTATAACTTGTTAAAAAAAAGGTTTTGAAGAGGTGCGAAGTCGACGTTTTTACCATTTTCCAAGATATGCATTCAGCAGGTACTGCAAAGAGTATTCCTGTTATAGATCCATGGTGAAAGGAACAGGCCGAGGAATCAGTTATGTATCGCAAAAAAACCTAGTGAAAATGATGCGAGTCGACCTCAGTCAGTCCCTACTCTAGGCTAGCCTAGCTAGGCCAGGCCCTAGTAGTAGTAGTAGTAGTAGCTTGGCTAGGTTAGGCTAGCCGCCTCATCAGCCTACTTACAGTAGTTAGTAGTACTAGGCCTAGGCTAGGCCTACGACCTACAGTAGGCGGCCTAGCCTAGGGCTTTGGTTTTATTTATTGAGGTGATACGAGTCAACGTATTGTGGTCCAAATACACTCAAGTTGATGTGTTTGATATTTGCATTTATTATTCAGGTTGTTTTGAGCCTGTCTGTGTGGTGGCTGTCTTTTTTTAGACCAAGAGAAGTCACACAACCACCCGTACACTCACTGAAGAATAAATACAGGTAGAAAGCCTTGAACATTATCAAAAAGTGCATGAGTTGTCCCTGAACAATTTGCAAATTGTCCAAGCCTCCAATCGGAGGAAGATGGAATAAAAATGAAAAAAAATAAATTTTGTTTTCTTATTTAGCAAATAGTTTTGCCAAAATCACCAAACGGAGTAGAAAATAAAAGCAATTTTTTTCCCTGAAATTTATAATTTGCACTTTTTCGTGGCAGCGGGTGCTCTAATTGGCCAAAAATGAAATTTTATTTTTATTTGAAATCTTCAATATTTGCAGTTGATGGGTTGGCTAAACAAGGTATGAAAAAAGTCTCACCCAATAGTAATTTTCTTTTGAATTGTATTCATTTATAAATAAATAAATATTATTTAATGTATCATGTTGGTTTTGAAAATATTAGTATAACAATCAATGGATTTACCAGATTTCAATAGCTTCTTTGGAACAATAGAAAGTTTTGAGACACTATCAATTTAATAATGCATACATTTGAAAATATAATTGATTAATTAATTACAGGTCTTATTCGATAATAAGATTTTGATAAGTTATTTGTCATTACCAAAACCAGAAGAAGATCAGTTATTGATGTCAAAACAAAAAGATGTATGAGATACAATAAATTATTTAACTAAACATTGTAAACATATGTTCTTGAATGTATAAATAGCAATGAATCTTCGGAACAATAGAAAGTTTTGAGATCTATCAATTATAATGCATACATTTCAAAGTGTAATTGATTAATTAATTACAGGTTCATCTGCATCATTCTGCCCAAACGGCTGTGGCTATCCTGTGGAGCGTGATAATATGAAAAGTTATCTATCATTACCAAAACCAGAAGACCATTTGTTGACTTCAAAAACAAAAAGAGGTTCACCTGATGAAAATTGTCTACAGATTCTGGCTCCAGGTCACGACACCCATGAGAAGAAAAGTGTGACTGAATGCAATGAAATAGAACAACAATATAAACAAATGTATGATTCAAAGAAACAGTTGATGATGAACAAGGAAGAGATGGAACATAAATGTGAACATTGTGGAGAGAAATTTGATTTACTAGGTTTGAAAACACATGTGGGAATTAAGATAGAAAAGGTACAATTTCAATGTGACCACTGTGGAATGGAATTTGACCACAAAAGTGAAATGGAAAGACATGTGATGATACATACGAAAGAGAATCTATTTGAATGTAAACATTGTGCAAAGACATTTAAGAAAAAAATTGATCTGAAAATGCATTTAAGGACACATCCAGAAGAGAATTTATATGAATGTGAACACTGTGCAAAGAGGTTTTACAGCACTTATCATTTAAAAAGACATTTGTTGGTACATTCAGTAGAAAGACCATATCAATGTGAGCTTTGTGAAAAGAAGTTTAAGAGCGATAGTAACTTAAAATCACATTTAATGACACATTCAGGGGTAAAACCATTTGAATGTGAACATTGTGCAAAGAAATTTATAAGAAATAGCGACTTGAAAACCCATTTGAGGATACATACAGGAGATAAGCCATATGAATGTGAACATTGTGCAAAAAAATTTCAGAGTAATAGTCATTTAAAAACACATTTGAGGATACATACAGGAGAGAAAGCACCTGAATGTGAACATTGTGCAAAGAAATTTATAAGAAATAGCGATTTAAAAGCACATTTGAGGATACATACGGGAGAAAAGCCATATGAATGTAAACAATGTGGGTTGAAGTTTAGCCATAACAGCGCATTGAACCATCATTTGAAGAAACATTCAGATTCAGGAGATACACCATATCAATGTGAACATTGTGCAAAGAAATTTACAAGCAGTTTCATTTTGAAAAGACACTTAAGGATGCACTCAAGTGAACGACCATATCAATGTGAGCATTGTGAAAAGAAATTTAAGAGTGATAGTAATTTGAAATCGCATATAAAGACACATTCGGGGGTGAAACCTTTTGAATGTGAACATTGTTCAAAGAAATTTATAAGAAATAGCGACTTGAAAACTCATTTGAGGATACATACGGGAGATAAACCATATGAATGTCGACATTGTGGGAAATCGTTTACCCATATAAGCACTTTGATCCAACATTCCGTTTTACATTCAGAAAAAAAACCATTTGAATGTGAACATTGTGCAAAAGTATTTAAAAGAATTAGCGAGTTGAAAGCACATTTAAGGATACATTCTTCAGGACAGACACCAAATGAACGTCAACCACATATGTGTGAACATTGTGAAAAAAAATTTACAAGTGGTAGAGATCTGAAGAGACATATAAGGATACATACAGGAGAGACACCATACGTATGTGAGCATTGTGGAAAGAAGTTTAAGATGGTTGGCAGTTTGATCAGTCATTTGAGGATACATACAGGAGAGAGACAATTTTTATGTGAACATTGTGCCAAGAAATTCAAGACCAATGGTGATTTGATAACGCATTTGAGGAAACACACAGGCGAGACACCATACGAATGTAAACTTTGTTTGAAAAAGTTTAAGAGCAATAGCAATTTGTATACACATTTGAAGAACTTACATTCAGAAAAAAAGCCATATGAATGTCAATTTTGTGAGAAGAAATTTAAGAGCAGTAACTATTTAAAAATACATATGAGGATACATACAGGAGAGATGCCCTACAAATGTGAAGTTTGTGAAAGAAATTTTAAACACAGTAACACTTTGAAAAGGCATTTGAGGATACATACAGGAGAGACACCTTACGAGTGTGAACATTGTGGAAAGAAATTTAGAACCAATAGCGATTTAAAAATACATTTGAGGATACACACTGGAGAAACACCTTATAAATGTGAGCAATGTGCAGTAAAATTTAGATACGGTAGAGATTTGAAAAAACATTTGATGATTCACACATAAAAAAGATAATTTAAATGTGAACATTAGCAAATAAAAGACAAATTTGTAAATAAGGAATAATTTGAGACAATAATTTTGTTTATATAAATGCAGGGATGTAGTTAAGGTGGAGCCACCAAGCCTTAATATTTTCCACCCAGTCTAAAGCCAATTCCATGGCCCTCCACCCACCCTTATTAACCCACTTTTCCATCCTTAAAATCCACTCATTCATATTTATTTAGAGTTTGCCAATGTTTTCACCCACCACCCTTAGTTTCCTAGAGCAACAACGCTGTACAGTGTAAATGTTGATACTAACATACTGTAAAGATGATTTTGGGGTTATTTTGTCCTGTTGTTTAGTGAATATACACCTTTGTTTCAGCAACACTTTCTGAAGTAAATACATTACGGACTGTAATTTGAATAATTAATAAATTCTTGCATGTGTTGCTTTTATGCTCCTCGCTCAATAATTTGTACAGTAGTTTTGCCTGTAGCCTGTTTTAAATTTACACTAACATACTGTACAGCTTACGAAATGGATGGTGCTACGATATATTTCTTCCAGGTTTGTGCAGGCATCTGTGCAGTATTACTGTATGATATCAGCAGATAATTTATTTTCAATAAAAATTGATTTATAAAGCCTAATATCCTCAACAGAATGCTATGATTATTAGCACTGTGAAATGAATTTATTTCTTATATTTTTAAGATGAAATGAAATCTGCCATAAGGGAGAGGTTGCAGGTTGATTGAATCCCACCTGACACTTTTTATCATACATACACCGGTACTTGAAGTTCCACGAAGTCTTTTAGCAAAGCTTTCTTGGCTATGCAAAATTTGCTTTATTATAAAACCCCTCTGAGTAACCATGTCATATATTGTCTAAAAGGTGAAAACTTCAGTGGGAGGTCACTCCATGCTTCCCAGCCTGGCCTTGTGTTGTGATTAAGATTTGTTTCCAAGTTTGCTGAAAATGTGTGGGGAATATATATAATCTTGGTTTTTAATAAAATCTATGCTAGTCATCTTTTGAAGAATGTCATTTCTTTTTTGTCTACTATTATTGTGTATAATATCCTCTCATAATATTTCTAATTATTTATTTAAATGCCCCTTGTTGAATTTCTTCAATATATTTTATTCATTACTAAAAATAAAATTTTGTTTTCTAATACTTAGCAAATAGTTTTGCCAAAAACGTCCAGACGGAGGAGAAAATAAAAATAAAATTTTATTGGTGAATGTAAAATAGAATGGTTAAATACTTCAAATTTATATAATTAGGAAGAAATATACATATCTTATCTTTGGAGATTTCAAGGCAGCAGAGAGCATAATAAAAATTATATTTTTTTTCTGAAATTTCCACTTTTTCGTGGCGGCGGGTGCGCTAATTTGCCAAAAAATAAAATTTTGTTTTTATTCGAAATTATCAATATTTGCAGTCAACGGGTTTGCAAAAAGGTATAAAAAATATCTCGCCTAACCTGTATAGTCAAGATCTGCATGGTTGGGCTTTCCTGGAAAAAAGTCAAATTTTAGTTTTCCAATTATTATTTTCATAAAATAGTGCCACCGGTTTCCCCTTTAGCATAAAACTAAAATTTATGACCTGGTTTATTATAGGTAATAGAATGATTTTTTATTGAAATTTTTCTGGGAATGGGGCTTTAAAAGATCTGAGGTCCGAGTTATCTAGACACTCAAATCCATTGTCAAGCACAAAGTTCAATAGAGATGGGTTTATTCATGTGGGTTTATCTCTGGCATAAACACTAAGGCATGAAACTAAGGTGATTTATAAAATCTTGTCTTTATAGAATACAATCAGATTAGTGATGGTGCACTGGGAAAGCAGTGGTGAAATCGGGAATACTGGGTTATGGGGACAAGGTCACAAGTAACAATCGGAGGAAGATGTTGCCGTTTGGCTACTTCTTTAGCGGAATCAGCAATTAGATTAGATTTATTTGGTGTAAACACCAAGGATAGCCTGTAACAACTGATAATGTAAAAATGCATAATGTAAAAATCAACGCATAATGTATACAATTTGTAAAAATGTAAAAACAAGTCTTCTCCCTCCCTCACGCCTGTTACTTTAACCTACTAGTGTCATCAATGGTACCTGCCTGCCTGTCAGTTGTTGTAAGTGCGACTTAACGGTTTACCTGTATCTCAGAGCTTCTTCCTGGACAAATTGGAACAATTACTAAATGTACCTCCACGCCCATTGACGCTGGCTAAATTCATCTCCTATAGGGAAAAGCACGATGAAACGATAGAAACACGCAAGTCATAATGATTGATGTATAAAAACAAGACAGCGACACGTACACCTAGTTTAAACCAAGATCACAGGATAAACGCAGGTTTCAATATTACGGAAGACCGTTTGTAACATGGGAAAAAAACTAGAGAATATTAGGCATTCGGATAAATGATGTGTGTCATACTTATTTCTCTTCAAAATTTCCCCCCCAAACAATATGCTGTGTATTATTTACAGAAAAAAAAAAACCAATATTGGTTAATTTTCGGTAATTTGGATTTTTTTTTTTTAAATCTCCTTTTTATATAAAATATCAAACTTACATTTTGGCTTGAGACACAAAGTCCTGGTATTCCACACAAAAAAAAATAGTTTGTTTTTATTTAAAACTTACGCTTGTGAATTACCATACTTGTTCTTTAGGAACGAAAAAAAAACAACAAAAAAACAAATAAAGAAACAGGATGCAAACTTTTTCCTCGTCCCCATGCTGGGAGTGTGTGGCGATGTGTGGCCTTTCGACAAGGTTTAAAATAGAAACTTTTCTTTTTTTTTTAGATAGAAAGACCCAAGTTACTTGCTTTTTGGGGGAAACCAAAAGTTTTTGTTTTTTTTTAACAAATAAGTATTTGGATAGAAAAGTGAGGTTTTTGTGCAATAAGCACAACAAATCATAATTTCTATTCTAAAATGCCAATGCGTTGATAGGTTTTTACATTATGTGTTAATAAATGTTTTTACATTATGCCTTGGTTTTTACATTATGCATTACTTTTTTACATTAAGCGTCAAAACTTTTTACATTATATGTCGTTTTTTTACATTATCATTTGTAACATAACCCACAAAATTCTGAAGACTTATTTCCAGTGTGGTCCATCTGGTGGTGATTGGACATTACACCGGAAGACAATCCCCTACTCTTTTCCAAAGAGTTCTTTAAACCAATCAAGCTGGCTGGAAATGACACTCTTATAGTAAGTCATTATCATAATCAGCGATTTTCGGCTATCGATCTAATTAATCTGTATTGTACCTTAGAGAATAAAACATAATTGTCCTTGATGTAGTTAATTTTCTTTACCAACTTGGTGTGCTGCTTCTTTACCTAATGTTCTCAACTAATTTAATCAGGGGACATCCCTATTAAGAGGATATTTTTCTGTGAAACGAAGGGAAATATATCTTTTAAAACCACGGCCAACCCCGCGACACTGAATGGTCAAATAACCCCTATTACGGCGACACTTTTTTTTAGTCTTTATTTTCTAACTGTTTTACATATTTCTGTAATTTTATATGTCTAAGAATAACTAAAAAATTGCAATTTAACTATTTCTTCATTTTTTATATCCAATGTATTTTGTAC